ATCCATCATACTGTGTCAGTCAGCTAGCATTGCCCATCGGTCGAGGAAAGCAGTCGATTGCACGGTGTTATCTATAATATATTTCCTAGCCATCTCTCTCAGTCGATGCAGTAGTAGCTTCACAGCCACCTCGTCGATTGATTTCCCCTCCTTACCTACACCTACCTACCACTCGACCACCACTGCCTAGCCTAACAGCAATATTGCTTAACCTGTTATACCATCACTTAACACAGAAGATAGAACACAGGCACTTATCTCGAAAAGTAGCTAGCTCACCAGGCTTTTCATGTGTTCCAGTTTCGATGGCCATTTCTCAGTCACAGCCATAGAGGAAGACTGAACAAAGTGCTGGTGAGCAGTACAAACTTCCTTTGCTTAATAACCGGCGGGATATGGCGTCTACTAAGCCAGAGATGGCGGATAGCACATGGCAATCTCTATCCGTGCTGAGATGCTTAGATGTATTTATTGTCATACTGTGGTTTTGCCAACCATTATTCCATTATCAATATTCCAACTAGAATTATATTTAAGATTAATTGTTGACTGTAAGTAAACGGAATGTTGCCAGAATAAATGTATCTGGATCCTACTTCACTCAAAATCCTGTCTTTTAAATCACCTAGCAATATGCTGTTTTTATTTCAATCATACGCGTAAAATAAGTGGTAGTGTAACGGGTAGAGGACAAGAAACACTTTTTCAAGGGTTGTTTTTTTGTTGTGGAATTTAGTATCTCTATACACCTTATCTTCAAATCACCATTTTGCACCGATCTTTTGTACTGTGCCACTTCTGGTCTTCATATTGTGTTACTTTGCGGTTCCTTTCACGTCTCCCATTTGCCTCCGTAACGCTGTATCATTTACTTTCTCTGAGTGACATCAAATCTATCTCCCCCCGTTATTTGATGTTTTTATGTCTTATACATATATATTATACTACTAATAAATCTTAACAGTAGCACATACCACAGTAGTATGAAGCATTTTTGTCACTCCCTTTGTGTTCTAAGTGAAAAATACGGCTTCAATCTCTGACACTTGAAGTCTCAGTAGCGTTGCTTATGTTGCTGTCGTTTTTACGGAATGGAGTTGCTATCTTCATACGCTCAACTTTCCCTCCTTATCACGCTTACTGTCGAATAAGTTAGGGTTTAAGAATATGTAAGTCGGGAATCACGGGAATCCGGACCACGTGCTGGTGGTTGGCAAGCATTCAACTATTGAATCATCGACTCATAAACAGAGTTTAGAGCTGAATGATAGTAGTACTTTTATGTCATAGTATACTTCTTTAGCAGTATACTTCCATAACCTCACCTGCAGGAATTCGGAGGCCAGCTGGTTCTAGGTCCACTGGATGCAATTGCCTACCTGAAATAGGAATGTAGGGAATAAAGAATGAATCCAATTACTAACATTTACTAAATAAATCGTTTTTACTTCACTAAACCCTACTAATGCATGTAAAATTCCAGTTAATAATAATAAAGCTTCATTTCAGGCAAAATGCGAACAGAAATTCTCAGCGTATTCAGTTCCAAAATATGTCCTATTGATAGACGATTTACATGTGAAGTAATAATCTTCAGTGTTTCATGTGACGTAAAGTTATTGCATATGAAGAGAGAAGCGATTCTATACATTTTCCCTACATTCCCCTCAAAAGTTATGCAAAGTTTTGTTGAAAATTAACTAAATGTGTACGCGAGTTAATTTGATATGGCTGCACGATTAAATCAATAAAGAGGTCCTGGGTTCGAACCTTAAGTCTCCTTTCTTTGGCAGTTTGAATAAGTATCCTTTCTTCCAATCCTCAGGTACTTTGCCCTCTTTCCACACCTTCCCCAGTAATAGCGTTATCAAGTCCGCTGTTGTCTCTGGGTCCATTTTCAATGCTTCTGCTGGGATTCCATCTGGTCCTGCTGCTTTTCCAGCTTTTAGCATCTTGATTGCATTCAGAACTTCTGATTTCGTCGGGGGGGGGTCGATGTTCACTGGTAGTTCTGCTTTCCTTGTAGGTATTGTTGGGCGCTTTGTAGGTGGGGGACGACTTACAAGTCTTTTGAAGTGTTCAGCCCAGCGTTTTCTTTGCTCTACCTCTTTGGTGATTGACTTTCCACTGTCATCCTTTACTGGCTTAATCTGTGTCGAACTTTTACCCGATATGTGTCTAGTTGTTTGGTAGAGTGTGGCGAGGTCTCCTTTGCCTGCACTGCAGCTTGTTCTGCTTTACTTGCCATGGTTTCATAATATTTTCTTTTGTCTTCCCTGGCACTCTTCTTCACTCTTTTGTTCAGTGTATTGTAGCTTGCATTCAACTCCTGTTTTTGTTGCTCGTCGGTGCACTGGATAATCTTTTGTTTCACTATCCTTCTCTTCTATTAGTTTCCAAGTGTCCATAGTGAGCCACTGTTTGTCCTGTCTCTTCTTTCTGCCTAGAACTTCCATGCAGGTTTGACTCCACACTGCTTCAGGTTGTCCCAGTGCTCTTCGATACTGACCTCTTCGCCAGTGTTCGAACCCCTGTGGTGAATGCGTACTGCTGAAGAGCTGGACCCAAATTAGGCTGACGAAACAGCTGGACGTGTCCAGTACTCCCCAGGTTTACCGATGGTCTTCTAACCGATATCAATTCATGATGATGAAATCCTGAAATGTAAGAAGAGTTTTGTCATATTGTTGGATAGAATTTCAGTAATAACCCAGTGATTTAAATAGACCGCCGTCTTGTGTGGTTAGTGGATTATTTTTGACTCACTTGTCGCTAACACTTACTAACATTTAATTATTCTGTACAAATGGATTCGTCATCTTTTTGTATAAACCTTTCAGTTTTATTTCATAAATTTCTTATGAGTTATTAATAAAGAGAAACAATCATAAAGATTGTTAGTCAGTGCAAGCCCCGATCTTTTACCTAGTTGTCTTGTAGGTAGAGATGTGTTTCTTTGGCTTAAACACTCGAATTCTAGCCAATGACTCCCGGGTTCGAATCCTCTTCCCCCTTACTTTAGTCTAGGCAACTGGGTAGCTCATAACCAAATCAGTATCGATTATAGCCCGCCTGGTACCAAGTAGTCGATAAGAGATCCAAGTAATTAACTAACTAGACAAAGTCGTCATCACTCAACTTCGCCACAAGTTCCTTCTATCCTTTCAATGCGTCGAATCAGCATTATATAATACTTCAATGAATAATTTTATTCTTTCACGTTCCCAGTGGAACATAGCGTTTTAAGCTAGAACTTTGGAGTTTCTGCAGCAGTGGGGTCGCGCTTGCCTCATGCCCAACCTTCTCTGTTCATCGGTCTTATTACTGGCTTAGCGAGACTTAGATGTGCGTCAGCCTAGGATCGAACCCCGAACTACCACCTGAGGCTTGGTTGGGGAGCGTTTCTACTGCTGTACCACCGACGTATGAATAAGATTGCTAATAATATTAATAATAATAATAATGTCTTGAAGTCTCAATTGACCTTTTCTGTTGTAACGCTGTGGCAGACTATCCTCATTTTGTGAAAGAGATTGAAATTATATGAAGTTGGTGTGCTTATCGAGATATTGCATTGGTGCAACGGCAAGGACAATTCAATGCTGTAGATTCCTGCCTCCAAACGAAAGATACATCGAAGCTATGAGAATATTACATGAAAGGTGTCGGAGGCCATTTATGATATCCACTAGTGTATTTGAGACCGTTAAGGGTAATAGTACTCAATTAAACGCTGACTCCGAGGAACTCGCTGAGTTTTTGGATAGTTTAATGGTGTACAGAAATACCCTCGTTTCTTTCGATTTTATAGATGATTTAAACTCGAGTTCTGTTCTTGAGACAGTCGCTAAGAGATTACCCCGTTCACTTACAAAAAGAAAGTTCATAAAAATCACCTCCCATTTAGAGGAGGATGGTTAAGAGTCAGGGTTCAATGATATTTTGGGACTGATGAAATACAGTATCAACCAAGCAATGAGCAAGTTCGCCAATATATACTGCATCCCACCTCTGGAATAAAGAAGTCAGACAGCAAAACGCAATCATTTATGATTAAGGGCTCTCAGAGAAGTGGATATATATAGAGAAAGGTGTATGGTGTCTAGTAATCCATACAAACTTAATGAGTATGTGATAGCCTTTGTGGGATGTCCCCAACAGATAGGTTACAAGTTGCGAGACAAAAATGGTTGTGTTTTATACGTTTGAAAGAAGGGCATGCAAAAGCGAACTGTGAAGCACAGTGAGCAAGTTTAGTAGTAAGCTGAACGTGTGAAGTCATCAGTGTCATCAAGTCTCGACTCCAATTCTTGTGATGATGATGTTGGTGTAGTGAAGAAGCCTGTTATAAATACTCTGATTTATTAGTTGTATAATATTCCTATGATATGCTCACTAGCGACTTGCCCCATTCAGGTAGGTAGTTACCTGGGTTTCCAGAGGGAAGTCGTGACCATTAGGGTGCAGTAGGTCGGGTGTGAGGACAAATACTCGCCGAAGATATTGGCTAGTGGTTGCGCTATAAGGTGAGTTGGCAGAAGTTAGAATTCATGGGCTGGCCATTGGATCGGGTTCCAGTAGCTTAATGGTCTCCGAGCTCGCTAGCCTTGTAACTAGAAGGTCCTGGGTTCGAACCCCTGTGGTGGGTGCGTACCGATGAAGATCCCCAAACTAGGACGAAACAGTTGTCCGGTACTCCCAGCTAGTTTTCCAAAGGTTCTCCAACCGATGTCAGCTCATGATGATATCCTGTAACCAACCAACCAAATCCCTACAAACAAACACTTGAATCCTACTTTACTTCTTAGTGTCAATGTAAGTTCGGATGAATTGTGTCTAACAACTCCATACATATTTTCTGTGTGAGTGTGGTGGGGGGCAGGAGGAAATGTTTTTTTTAATTAGCATTATATTTTATTAGCTGTCTGGTTTTCTGTTCTGTTCTGTTTTATTCTCTTCCTGTCTATTCTTTTTTTCGACCATCTATGTGTACACTTCAGAAGTACAACGTGTTGTTGATCGTGAACGATTTCGTCAACAAAGTCATTTAATGAATGATCATCATCCGGGGTAAGTTTGTTTGCCTTGTTAAACAAATTTTTCTGGTGTCTTTTTTTTTGTTGGTTATAATAATGAATTGTAGTTCTAGGTGTGTTTGTGTGTGTACTGGATGGTGTTTCGTCTAATGTTATGACATGATCGTTTTCACCCCGCTCCACGTCTGCCCACATGCTTTCATCTCCTCTTCACATAACCTCCTCCTCCATGCCATTCTCACACTGACGACCAACTCGCCGCCTCCCTTTCGGGTTCCACTTGAGCGATGGCTTGTCTAGTGATGTCACTTGATGGTTTGTTTCCTCAGAGTATGGCCAATCCATCTCCTTTTTTATCCTGCCTATTTGGTTCACAGTCGGTTCCTGCTGGGTTGGTTGGTTGGTTGGTTGGCTCCCAGAGATCCCTGTAGCTGATCTTTTCTGGCCGGCCATCTGATCTTGAGTATTGGGCGAAGACAACTGTTAATGAAGGTCTGAAGTTTGTTGGAGATGCTCTTTATGACGCGCAATGCAAGTCTCTGATCCGTATAGTAAATGGCACTGACTTCACATTGGAGTTGAAAATCCGGATGTTACTTTAGATGCTGAGTAGTGCTGTTGACCTCCACACAGACTTAAGAGTAATGAAAGCTTGTTTTGCTTTTCCGATTCTTGCTTTGATATCCTCGTCAGTTTCGTCGGCCTGTGGTTAAAAAGATCCTTCCCAGGTAGGTAAAGGAGGCTGTTTTTTTGTCAGGTTCCTCCATTTATGCTGATTGTTGTCTGTTGTCTTTGTTGCTGCTGTTGCTGTTGGTCAGGAATCTTCATCACTACTGTTTTCTATGTCTTCACCTGAAGTGAAGTTCTATCTTTGATGCTTCTTCTATCGCCAGCTTGTTGCTTTTTTCACTTGCATATCTTCCAGTTTGTGGGAAATCAGACATACATTATCATCGGCGAAGTGCAGATCCCGCAAGATTGGTTGGTTTGCGGTAAATGACCTTGAAATCCTAGTTAACATCACTGTTATGTTCTGTATCCACAATATGAGATAGAATAGCGCTATGTGAATAGATTTTGTTTATCCTTTATTTAACCAACTAATATGCAGGGTGATGTTCGGAAATTCGACAAGAAACACGCCTAATTGTACGGCCTATGCAACTAACCGGCTCCACAGGAGCAGTTAAACTGACAATTTTGTGAACCTATTCAATCATCTGATTTGAGATAGTATTGATTATTATAATCTTGTTTTGTCTGGGTTTTTGTTTCTTCTCTCTATTGCACTGTGCAGATCACAGATCAGTAATATCAGTAGAATTGTTCGAAATCCTGCCTCATATCTTACAAATCCTAATGTACAACGAAGAGGTATACCAGATATGGGACCACTTCCAGATGTAACTGCTGGTACAACTGTCAGTGATGCACGATATCGTCAAGGCACAGATGACAGTCATAATAACACGTGTGAAATTCCTTCAAACATGGGAAATATTAATAATAATAACAACAATAGCAGCAATAAATTAGCAGACAGATATCATCATCCGGTAAGTGGGTAAATAATGCTTTTTTGAAGAAATATATATATATATATATATATATTTTGATTTGTGCATAAAACAAGATACTATCATCCTTTGTTCATTTCGTTGGCTTCTTATCAGCTGTTTGCTTGCAGCCGAATGAAATTATCATTAATCTTATGTACAGAAACAATGTTTTGCAACGAGAGAAGACAAGGGTCAGGCAACAGATCGTTTATTGAGAAAATCAAGAGATATTTGATTACATGGAGGATTTCATCATGTCTGTCTGTCTAGATTCAACATAGAACTTGGCACCGAAGTGCACCAGTTCGAGTTGCCACGTTCCAAATAGCCCACAGAGGTAGACAAGAAGATGAGTGGAGAGAATTAATAGAGTTTGACAAATATAAGAGTGAAACAGAATGAATGGTAATGGTAGAAAGGAATATGAAAGATTACAGAGACTGAATACATCTGCGCTGTCCATTGACAACGATTTTGAGCCATGTCACCTATTGTCTCCAGCCATTGATTCCTAGAGTCCCGAGGGCCCCAACCCGGGAGTCTGCATCTCCCTACCTGACCGACTCAGTTTAACTGTCAAGGATTTCATGGATTGATGCCATGTTTTTGTTTGGCCACCACTGGCTCTTTTCCAACCTGCACCTATATCAGCTAGCAATGCCCGTCGGGGGAGGCGGTGGTTAGGCATGCGCAGCACGTGACCTAGCCATCTTAGTCTATGTAACTTTATAGCCTCGTCGATTGATTTTCCCTCTTTGCCCAACACTCTACGCCTAACATCAACATTACTTATCTTGTGAAACCACCTAACGTGAGACAGAGATCGCAGACATCTATGATCGAAAGCAGTCAACCTTTTCATGTCTTCAACTCGTATTGGCCATGTTTCAGAGCCATAGACAAGGACGGAGCGAACTGATGAGCAGTACACACGTCCCTTGGTTGATAACCGGATGTCACGCCTACGCCAGAGATGGTGTAAGTCAGCGAAAGCAGCTCGAGCTTTTCGGATCCGTGCTGAGATTTCATCGCCAATCAGTCCGTTGGTGCTAATACAACTTCCCAAGTAGGTGAAGTGGTCAACATGTTCTATCACTTCACTCCCTATCACTAAGTTAGGGGTTGACGTGGTCCAGTCCTGTAGCAGCATCTTACATTTTGCAGGGGCGAATCGCATGCCAAACATACGAAGATTGCTGCTCAAGGTGTTCAGAAGACTCTGCATTTTGTCAGAATCCTCCCCTAACAGGACTATGTCATCTGCATATTCTAAGTCCATTAGATTATTCCCTGGTAACAAGTCGATTCCTAAGTCACTACGTTCAGTTAAGGATACTTCCATTAGCATATCTATGATGAAGTTAAACAGAAATGGGGAAAGTGGACATCCCTGTCGGACACCACTGGTTGTTACCAATTCAGATGACAATTCCCCATAAGCCCTTACACGACTACGTGAGTTTGAATAGAGTGCCTTGATTAGTGCAACGTACTTTCTTGGCACTCCCTTCACAGTCAGACATTGCCAATTTCATTTCATCATGAGCTGACATTGGTTAGAGAACCACTGAAAAACCTGCGGAGAGTACTGGAAAGCTGTTTCGTCAGCCTGGTTTGGGACTCTTCATCAGTACCCACACACTGGAGTTCGAACCCAGGACCTCCTGGTTACAAGGCGAGCTCGTAGACCATTGGGCCACTGGAACCTCATCCAATGGCCAGCCCATGAATTCTAACTTCTGCCAATTCACGACATAGCGCGACCATTTCGCAGTGTCTTCTTCGATGAGTTACCGCCTCATCTTCAACCTGTTGTAGCCAACTGGTCACAGCTTCCCACTAGAACCCCAGGTTGACTGCCTGAATAGAGCCAGTCGCTAGGACGTTACAGCCGTCCAGTACTCCCAGGGTTTCCAGTGGTTCTCTTGTTGTGAGAGGAGGCTGCTGGCTAATTGGTAGACATTAATCTGCGTCAATGTCCCCAATATCGGTCGTGAGAAAAATAAGAACAAAGACTGATTCAAAAACCAATCACACCAGACTTTGCGTAGGCAGATACAGCTAACATGTAGATGACCTTACATTCAAGAAACAGTCACAAAGAGATGCAAGGTCAACTTTCTGTGAGAAACAACCATTCAGGAGAGTGTGTTTGTTTACTTGAATAAGCTACAATAATATACATGAAAATATATAAATACGTGCTGATTTCCTTAATAAACGATCTGTTTCCCGGCCCTTGTCTTCTGTTGTTACACTTTAACTGATGTCAGCTCATGATGAAATCCTCCATGCAATCAAACGAAATCCCTACAAATCCAATACTTGAAAATCAAAAGATATTTATAGATTTTTATGTACATTATTATTCGTTATTATTAGCAGAGAAGCAAAGTCTTCTAATTGGTTGTTTTTCTGCTGAAGGTTATTCTGTCATCTCTTTGTTGCTGTTTCTTAGGCAGTCCGTTGATATTTCTGCGCCAAGTCTTCTGTGATTGGTTGTTGAGTTCTTTGAAGTTAGACTTTGTTCTTATTCTTGTTCATCGGTTGCTTCCTTGCTTACAGCCTAAAGACAGTTTATTTGCAGAAACTATGTTGACATACTTGCATACACAGAGAGTTCATTTTTAAACGAAAAATCAATCAATATATGCATACAATGCTAATAATAATAATCACTTGAGGTGTGTGTGTGTGCGTGTCTGCCTTCCTTCTTTCTGTTCTCCTAATGTAACTGCTTCCGCAGATACATGTATATTTTTTATACACAGTTGGAGTTGACATGAGAAGGGTATCTGTGTCGACGTTTGATTTCACCAAAAGAGCATGTTGTCCGATAGGCGAGAATCAACTTCTCTATCTGCAGGATAGGCTCTGGTTAGTCATCTATTCAATCTTCTCTTGATTATTCCTACAGTGTCACTAACTTTGAAGTCAAGTTGAATGAAGACGGGCTTTTATTCCATTGTGATTTGTTTGGCATTAAAGCCTCCTCATCTACTCCTCAAGTTTGCCAAAGTAATCTTCATCAAGCTCCTGAAACCCGATTTGTGTGTCCAGGAAGAAATGGTTATCAGTCTTTCCTTGTCCTCTCTGGTAACTGGGTGTTTTCATTCTCTCTCTTATTTGATGATCACATAACGCCAGAAGACTCCATTGTGCATGATTATTATCGTTGTATGCAACAATGTGGAATATTGGCGACCCCGAAACAACTCTATCAGCTGGTTTGTATATTTTCCCCTTGGAATTTAAATACTGTGGAAGTCAGGCATAGCTGCTGCACTCCCAGCATTATGTCCTCAAGTGGCACTTTTGTCCTATGTTCGAGTTCTTGGTCAGAAATGAGTTCGTTTCTGACTGCCTTTATAGCCATATATATTGGTATATGTGTATATGAACTGACAATGTCAAAACTAACCAATAAATTTTGTTCGAAACTGTGTCATCCAGTAAATAATACTGTTTCACTCACTGTGTATGTGATACATCTAATAAACAAACTAATATGGAATTACTTACTACCACAGTGCCCAAGTTTTACACATATATTAATAGTCACTGTAATAATGATGCATCGATTACTTAATGTATTAATTATTACGTGATATGGAATCCTCATTACACTTCTCAGTTTTCATAGCATTTTTGATTAAAGCTTAGCATTTATTTTTAAAATTATCTGGACTTATAATAATTTGGCTTTATTTTTGAAACAGTGAATCAGAGGCGATAAATAGGCATAATTTATCTGAATCGTGTATTTTGTGTATTTGCACAACATTACACATTTCGAAAAATCTGATCATCCTCCATAGATTTGTCATAGGAATGTGTATGTATAAAAATAATAAAGAGTTAAGAGGTGAGAGAAAATAGACTGCTTAGGTGAAGTTAAAAGAACATTTTGAAGGCCAAAATAACAACCAAATCAGGTAGATTATAGTACATCTACCCAGGCAGGCTAACATCAAAATAAAGTTCACCTAAGGAAGGTATTTGTGGGATGACTAATCGTTTTTGATGAACGCATAAAGCATCGTTTCAATTACAGGCGACAAAACGCGGATGAATATGTCAAAGTCAGTCGCAATCGGAATGGCCAAGATACACGCCTTCATCAAGTTTTGAAGCCAGTTTGGAAATCTTCTGCACACCTCGGCATGAAAAACAAGATTCGGATTTGCAAAATAAATGTGAAGTCGGTCCTTCTATATGGGTCACAAACTTGCACACTGGCCGCTTCAGACTTTCATCATCAAATAGCTGTCTTCCCTGACTCCATACTGAAGACTAAATGACCGACAAGCCGGTCAGAAAGAATTACTAAGAAGAAACTCTGGCTGGGAACAAACCAACAAGCGAGTACCGATTGCTCAACAAATATATAGGAGAAAATGGAAATGGATTTATCGGCTACACGTTGAGGAGGTCGTCGAATTACACTCATTGCTGGCCATTGCTGCAGTGGAATCCCAATGGGAAGCAACGAGTAGTGGGTCGTCAGTGTCCGGGTGACATGGAAGAGATCGAGTGTCGGGGAGGAGATGAGAGATTATGTGCAATTGTCGGTTGAGCCACCTAAAGAGGACGTCAGAAAGTAGAACAAAGTGGCGATGTGTTGTTAAAGCCCTTTGTTCTACTCGGAAGCCAAGGAAATAATAATAGTAATAATAATAGTAATAATAATAGTAATAATAATAATAATAATGATAATAATAATAACAATAATAATAATGATAATAAAAATAATAATAACAATAATAATAATGATAATAATAATAATAACAAAAATAATAATAATAATAAAAATAATAATAATAATAAATAATAATTGCTAGGGCTTCCTTCCCCAAATACTACGATACACCTCAGAGATGTGTCAACATCAATTTTATGTCGTGTGTCTATCTGTAATGTTTTTAAAATATTTCTTTTGCATTTCCTTTATCCACTAGGCACCAATGGATTCTCGTTGTTCTCCTACCAATCATAAATATACCACTCGGCCTATATCAGAACCGATAAGAGGATCAAATGATTATGCAAGTTAGTTGCATTTCATTATTGATTAACACACTCGCTTCATTTTAATTCGATTCAATTCAACTTCCCTTTCTTTTTGCATAAATTTAATACTCGAATGAAGCTTGAAGTCGCTATATTTTTTTCCTTATTTGCTTCCAGCCATCATTGTACGCCGTGTTCATTAATAATTTATATTTTATTCCTCTGCGTCCCAAGTGGAAAATGGAGCTTCCAGCTAGAGTTTTGAAGATTCTGTAGCAGTGGTAATGAGATAGAATAGCGCTATGTGAATAGATTTTGTTTGTCCTTTACTTAACCTGTTTGCTGGGTGATGATGTTCGGAAATCGGACGGAGAACACGCCTAATTGTACGGCCTATTTAACTGGCTCCACAGGAGTAGGGTGTGTTTCTCATCGGATTTCCGAACATCATCCTGCATAGTGGTTGGTTAAGTAAAGGACAAACAAAATTTATTCGCAGCGCTCTGTTCTATCTCTTATGGGTAAATTTTTGTTTTGATAAAGTCTCACAGTGTTATACAGTAATGTTTACTGATGACGTTTCGAGCACAATTTATTGCTCATATCATATCAGTAAACATTATTGTATAACACTGTGAGACTTTATCAAAACAAAAATTTACCCATAATGGAATTATGCTCTACCACAGTGCACAAGTTTTATTCTGTTCAGTCTCATCTTGTGGATACACAACACAAGATTGATGTCAACAAGGCAGCTTTCAAGGTCATATACCGTATACCCACAAATCTTATTTTCAAGTATTGGTTTGTAGGGATTTGGTTGATTGGTTATAGGATTTCATCATGAGCTGACATCAGCTAGAGAACCATTGGAAAACCTGGGAGTACTGAACAGCTGTTTCGTCCTTGTTTGGGGCTCTTGAGCAATACGCACTCACACCATGGGGTTCGAACCCAGGGCCTTCCGGTTACAAGGCTAGAGAGCTCGCATACCATTAAGCCACTGGGACCCAATCCAATGGCCCATGAATTCTAACTTCTGCCAATTCACGATATAGCGCAGCCGCTAGCCAATGTCTTTGGCGAGTACTTGTCCTCACACGCCACCTGCCATTGATTGGGTCCCAGTGGCTCAATGGTATGCGAGCTCTCTAGCCTTGTAACCAAAAGGTCCTGGGTTCGAACCCCTGTGGTGGATGCGTACTGATGAAGAGTTCCAAACAAGGACGAAACAGCTGTTCAGTACTCCCAGGTTTTCCAATGGTTCTCTAGCTGATGTCAGCTCATGATGAAATCCTATAACCAATCAACCAAATCTCTACAAACCAATACTTGAAAATAAGATTTGTTGGTATACGGCAAATGACCTTGAAAGCTGCCTTGTTGACATCAATCTTGTGTTGTGTATCCACAAGATGAGATAGAACAGCGCTGCGAATAGATTTTGTTTGTCCTTTACTTAACCACTTTGCAGGGTAATGGTTCTCTAGCTGATGTCAGCTCATGATGAAATCCTGTAACCAAATCTTATTTTCGTCTGAAAAGTTCGTCTACTAAATATTGCTGAGGCTGACTGTTGGGATCCACATTAACAAGCCTAATTTATGCATCCAAAAGAAGTTCAGACATTATCATTACTTTGACCATCTAGATTTGAATGATCCTGAATTTTTGTGGAATTTTCCTAATTTTACCTGATGTTGTATTTCCTACAATATATTTATTATTATTTCAGCATCTTTAATGAACTGTAATTCCATTGTGATACTTTACTTTACTTTACTTCGGCTATCTCCTACGGGAGGATGAGCCGGCTTCATGAACCATGAAGTTTCATGGGAATTGGGTACGAGTGATGTCCCCAGCATCGCTTACTTAACAAATCGATATTATTTAGACAAAAACACCATTATGGTTATTGACTACTATTCTAGAATATTCTATGTATATAAACATGGATATGTAATGATAGAGCCAGAATAGGAAATCCCATATTAGTTTGTTTATTAGATGTATCACACACACAGTGAGTGAAACAGTATTATTTACTGGATGACATTGTTTCGAACAAAATTTATTTATTGTTCATAATCATTTCATCATCAGTTACAATCACACGACTTCGAAACTTAAGTTTTATAGTTTTTCTTCGTCTTCTCCTATTTGTCGTCATTGGGGTAGTTGAATTTTCCAGATAACTGGTTGAACAGGTGTTGAGTAATTCCTATTACACGTATTCTCTCCAGGTGATTCGATAAACAAAGCTTCTGTCATCAATCTCTCCCTCCAACCTGTGACCCTATCCCAGATATCTGGAAAATTTTACTACCCCTTCGACAAATAGGAAAGAACAAAGAAAACTATATAACTGAAGTTTCAAAGTCGTGTCATTATAACTGATGAAATGATTATGAACAGTAATAAATATTGTTCGAAACTGTGTCATCCAGTAAATAATACTGTTTTACTCACCGTGTGATATATCTAATAAACGAACTAATATGGAATTACTTTTTTTAATAATAATAATAATAATTTACTTTATTCCAAAATCAGTACTTGGGATAATGAATGGAATTTTCAGCATTAATCACAATATTGCATCTGATTTCCTCAAATTATAAATAAAATTAATCACACAGAAAATTTTCTACATTTCCAATTGGGGGTAATGTCAAAAACATGCAGCATATAAAATGGAAATTGCAATAATAATGATAACAGCTAGGGTAATAATAATAATAATAATACAAGTTAAAATTACCGTGGGCTTGTTTCACACAGTATTGGCAATGTGGTATAGAAATCCTAACATGTTTAAAAATATTGAATATAATGTTCTCTTTACATGATATGGTGAGGGGAAAAACAAAGATTACAGCCGTCATGGAGATAAAATGGTGTTTGCAATTATGAGAGTAAAACAGAGAATTAACAGGACCATAAATATAATAGAAGTAATAAAAGTAAAACTTGAAGGTATGTAAGGATGGATGGAGGAAATTTTTTATTTACTAGATGAAAGAAGGTTAGTTAATTCTTTCCTGACACTATTTTCATCACATAAAATACATGCCAAGTATGGTATCATAGACTTCTTATACTTAGACGTGCGAGCATACAGTTTTCTGAAGTTACTCCTTGTTCTACCTGAGGAGATGCAAGGTGAAAGCTGAGGGTAAAGTGGATGCTCCAAGTCAGATAAAATCCCTCTAGCAAATTTATTGCACGAAGTCAAGTGCCTGTCTTACTACCACAGTGCCCAAGTTGTACACATAAATTAAGGAGAGGAAATTATCGAAATAGGAATATTCTTTCCTCAATTATTTTGGTGTTTTCTAGATGTCTGAATCAATAATTTCGCATTCATCCAAAGGTAGGTAGTTCACAACAGACATGTTATGAGTAGTATTAAAAGCTAGCTGTCATTAAGGGAGATTCTATGCGGTCTTTTTAACTTTCTGTGCACGTATACATTGCGTAAATATGATTGCGTAAATAGTTTGTAAATGTCTGAGTTTTTTTCTTCTCATTCTTTTTTTTTGCTGTATATTACGTCATAACAGTGAGTGGAGAGACGAAAACAGTTTTTCTGATCTGGCCTACTTTTTGTCAGTTGTATTTTTTTTATTTGATTGTCTAAATTCATGACGAATCAGCAATAACGACATATTATTACTGCTTATATGACTCGTTTACACAAGGCCTTGAATAATATAATTGTGACATTATTAAATTTTCGAAAGAATGGATAGTCGAACAAAGAGTACTCTTTTCGATAACCTGCTCTTTATCAGGCTCTATATTTATACATACATTATAGTGAATGAATGAATGAATTAATGTTATGAACAACATTAATGTTGCTGTTTAAATAACATCGAATCACTAATATTGATAGATTACATCTGAATAGCACCAACATAAAATAAGCTGGATTTCAGAAAATATGAGGAAAGATAATATATAACAAATTCATGAATTTATAGTAGTATGGGCTTGATTCGCTGCTTTTGAACACAGAGCACTCACTGGTTGTTTGGGGCGAATTGCAATAGCCTTTGGTGTTTGAAGCATGCGGTGATTCGATGATTTTTGCAATTTATTAAGCACCCGGTAGATGATGATAGAGAAGGATTCTTCCACTCTGGCTGGCTGGCTTTTTGGCCGGTTTGCACCAGATGGTCCAATATCGAACTGTTATTGGCTTTAACTACACCTTTACTGAGCTATACTGGGAGATGTTCTCGAGAGAGCACAAAAAATCAAGTTCCTAGAGCAACGGCCGATATAACTGGCTCCAATAAAAGCGCAGTTGAATTCGTAGATACAATTTGAAGCGGCTAGTCTAGGTATTTCATCTTTCAGTTGAAGTAGCACCAGAAAATAACACGCGGAGTTCGTTAGCGTTAAAAGTTCTTTGAACTGATTTTCTTAATTTCCTCGTAATTATCTTATTTGGTATATCGCCCTTGAATTGCAGTCGTATAAAAAGTAGCTTCTTGTTTACAGATAGTGAGTAGTTGTTTTCCGCTTTCTTTGTCATGTGTTTCTCGATGAATTTGTCGGGATAGCTATTTTCAATCAAAGTATCATATAAAATGCTTAATTATTCGTCGATTGCTTCTTTGGAGGATATATCTCTAAATATGTGTAGCTGAGGGTCTTCACTAAATATCTTTTGTACTTGATAGGACCGAAGCTGTGAAAATGTGTATATTGTCCTGTCCAAGTGCTTTTTCTGTCTAAATTTCTTTTTATGCTACCATCTGGTTTTCTTGTAAGTAGGGACATCCAGGAAGGCAGTTAATTCTGTTTTGAGATTCCTCTTCTCATGTGAATTTCATAGGCGAATGTACTTCATTGAATTCAGTAATTATTGTACTCTTATCCAAATTCATTATCATATACCGGCAAGAAAATGACAGCTTACTGATAAGGTTGTTCAGAGGTCCATTTTCTAGTTTACTTAAAAAGAAATCAGCCAGAATGGGACCCCTTTGGGGAGCCCATCGCTATTGTTAAATGCTTAAATATTATTAATATTAGAAGACGGATATGTAAACGAACAGTATTGTTGTTTTCAGTTAGATCTACTTCAGGCTTCTCTCTAATTTGCATAGATTTATATATAACAAATTTAACCAGTGACAGTAAGTTCGTGGATCAAATCCTGATAAAAATGTTTAACTCAATTTTAGATTCCCCCGTCGATTGATTGGACCGAAGTGCTCGGTTGTTCAGGTTGAGATATTAGGGCTCTTTGTGCAGATGCTTCAACGCTGTCTGTTTATGTAACTAGAATTTAATTAGTGGATGTTGATAGGCAGTGGAATCCATGATTAGGATTTCGTCCTATCTGGGACTCGTCAGCTAGATATACCTGCATTCCCCCAGTGAGTCAGTGATGATGTTCCCACCGAGACTCGAACCCCATTGGCCATAGTGTTTCAAACGCCAAAGCGTTATCCACTAGATTACTTGGGCCACGCATCCTAGATTCAACTGTTAATCACCATCCATCAATTAAACTACTAATTCGATGACCAGACATTGTCAAAGTATCTGCACGAGAAGTTAACATGTCAACCTGAGAGTGAGCACATCAGTTGAATCAATCGATGTCTGTCTGTCTGTTTTCGACATAGAACTTTGCACAAATGTGCGGAAGTTCAAGTCGTCACACTCCGTGTAGCACGCGAAGCAAGAGAAGAAAGTACAAAAACAGCATAATAGAAACAGTGAGCAGAGATGTGAAACAAAGGAGTAATAAAGAAAAACAAAACAGTTTCATTGAAGGTCATAAGTCACAAGGAGTGGATGCATCTGCGCTAGCCACTGAGAACGATTTTGAGCCATGTCACCAATTCTTTCCAACCATTGGTATTTACCGTCCCGAGGACCCCAGCCTGGAAGTCTACACCTTTCTACGTGGCTTAGACCAACTGTTGTGGATTTCATTGACTGGTGCCAAGTTTTTGTATGACCTCCGCTAGCTTTTTTCCAGCCTGACCGCATATCCGCTATTATAGATCGTCGAGGGAGGCGATGACTTGGCATACGTAACACATGTCCTAACCATCTCCGTCTTTGTAACTTCACGACTTCGTCGACTGATTTCCCCTCCTTACCTAGAACTCTACGCCTAACCTCAATGTTGCTCACCTTATTATGCCACTTAACACTGGAAATAGAGCGCAGGCACCTATGATCAAAGACAACTAATCTTTTCATGTCTTCCACTCTCAACGGCCAGGTCTCACAGCTAGCGATAAAAGAACGAGCGGAACGAGCCCCCTGTATTCGTTCTGAGATTTCGTCAGAGATCAGCCCGTTGGGGCTGATGGTACTTCCCAAATAAGTGAAGCGGTCAACATGCTCTACCACTTCACTTCCTATTTTTAAACTAGGCGTCGATGTAGTCCAGTCCTGTAACATCATCTTGCATTTGGCGGGAGCGAATCGCATGCCAAACATTCGTAGATTGCGCCTCAAGGTGTTTAGAAGACTCTGCATTTCATCAGCGTCTTCGCCTAGAAGGACTATATCGAATCAATCGATGGGAAAATCTAAAATTCAATTTAATAAAATACTTACATAATTTGAAGCTGACGTAACTAAAAAATTGAATTGATTGATTATCTGTGGAAAATATCCTCCAAAAAGATAAACCTCTCTCCAGGTGGAAAATATGATTCCCTATTTGCCGTCAATTAAATTTTTTATGCCTTCAGCTTATTCTTGAAATCAATCTTGCTTAAATCAAATCTCCTGGGCTACTTTTTACAGACACTAAATATCTTTCCCGTATCACCACTCCATGAAATAGATTAACAATAGCCTTAAAAGTTTACTCTTGGCGCCTAATCCGACACGTGACTTCGTTATTATTATTATTATTTTCCCAGAAGAGAAGTTTCCTGGAGGTCAAATCATTGAAGGACACTTCACCGGGATTTCACAACCTCCTGTACTAGAACCTAAAATATCCTATATGGAACCTGTGATAAGCAATGTAACTCTTGGCGCAGCTGCAGCTCCATTACGTCAGCTTAATTATCAGGCTAATGCAAGACAACAACAACAACTGGTTCATCATCCATCAGGGTTTCAGGCTATGACTACTGTTCAAGGCGGAGATGTTGTCTATCCTGTTGTAACTAATCCTAATTTTGGTAAGTGTTGTTGTTTTTTGCTTTTTTGGTAAATCGATTGTATTGATTGATGGATGAGTAAACTCATTAACGGATCTGGATTTTATAAATTATATATATATATTTTTTCAAGTGTTGGTTTGTGGGGATTTGATTGATTCGTTACAGGATTTCATCATGAGCTGATATTAGTAAGAGAGCCATTGGAAAACACGGGGGTACTGGACAGCTGCTTCGTCCTAATTCGAGACTCTTCAGCAGTATGCACCCACCACAGGAGCTCGAACCCAGGACCTTCTTACGAGCGAGCTCGTAGACCATTCAGTTACTGTGACCCGATCCAGTGGCCAGCTCATAAATTCTTACATCTACCTTGTGACTGGAGCGTCCTGGGTTCGAACCCAATGTGGGTGCGGGCTGCCGATGATTCCCAACCTAAGCTGATGAAACAGCTGGCTGTCCAGTACTCCAGTGCTGGTTTGCAATGGTTCTCTAACTGATATCAATCCGTGGTCGAACTCGTATAAACAAATCTACTCCTTACAAACCAAACTCTTGATAATAATTATTATTGTTATTTTTTGAGTTGTATTCACAGACAGTAGTGTAATTGTCTTGTTATTGCTGCCGTTTCAACTTTTACTCAATGCAGTCAGCTTCGTGTGCTTTTGGAAGTGTGTGGGTGGTTGTTTCTTTCCGGCTGCCCACACCACTGTGGAAGTTGCTTGATTCTTCGGGTACCTCAAACAGAGAGAGAGAGGGTTAGTGACAACAGAACCCAGGGGATAATTGCTTGAGACCAGCCAGTCACACACGGCCTGTATGGACTGGTTTCCTGATTTGTTTCCGTAATAGTAAACTTACCGCCGCCCGGTATGGACCACCGTAGATGGGGTAAGTCGGGATGTACAATTTTTAGGGTCGACCTTTTCTAACCCCCTCTCTCTCCAGAGTGAAGAGACAGCACAGTTGGCTGACATGCTGGTCATCTGAAGGAAACACCTTACTGCGAATGTTACGTCCTTGTTTTCCAGCAGTACGACTTCGTCCACAGACCCCCAGCATAGTATAAAGTAGGACCTGCAGGAATATTGGTTCCAACCAGCGTAGTTTGTTGGTTCGTCGCGATGTGCAAGCACGACCACCACGTCAAGGTAGCAGCTATCGATTGGAATTCAATGCAGTTAACTCGTTCGTATCATTTTCAGTCACTGAATGGTTGCATTTCAGTTACTAATCTTCGAAAGCAGTGTTTCATACTGTACGAAGTGTTGTTGTTATTTTCTTATTTACTTTTTTTTCAGTTCTCTATTCTGCGAGTTGTCTTTTCAACTGTTTACATGTTCTCTGATTTTTTTGTTTTTGTTTCGTTTTTAGCTACCGGTAGAAATTTCGAAAATGACTTCACGTCTGGTGGTGGTGGCTTATGGGAAGCTGCTGAATTTTCCGATGAAATTTTAATGGAGGTAAGTTTCACGTACTTCAACCTTCTGTAGACTGTTTTCTTTTTTGTATTTGTATAAAGCCATAGACTAGGGGATTGATTGAGATGTGAATAGTGTTCCATATACTACTCACATATCAACCTAGTAGTCGTAGTGCTGTGGTGATCAAAACGCCAGAGGGCTATTCCACCTGTTCATGGCTGCTCTAATCGGCAATATACCTGATTTGACTCAGCTGAGAGAGAGACAGAGTTCAGTTCATGCCACCCGATATCTAGGTAACTGCATAGTCGAACTATTATTATATTGTTATTATTATTATCATTATTCCTTTGGGTTCCGAGTGGAACATAGGACTGGCTTCAACAACACATCTCCACTTTGTTCTATTTTCTGCTGTCCTCGTCAACTGGCTGACGACCCTACGACTGCTAATAATCTCTCATCTTCTCCCCCTCCTTGTCATACGATCTCCTCAGTGTCACTCTCCTACTTACGACCCACTCCTTATTTCCTATAAAGGTTCCACTGGTCTGTCTGTCTGTCTGTCTGTTTACGACATAGAACTTTGCACATATGTGCGGAAGTTCAAGTCGCCACATTCCGTGTAGCACACGAAGCAAGAGAAGAAAGTAGAAGAAAAGCATAATAGAAACAGTGAGCAGAGGTGTGAGACAAAGGAGTAATAAAGAAATACGAAACCGTTTTGATTGAAGATCATAAGTCACAAGGAGTGGATGCATCTGCGCTAGCCACTGAGAACGATTTTGAGCCATGTCACCAATTCTTTCCAATCATAGATTTTTACCGTCCCGAGGACCCCAGCCCGGAAGTCTACACCTTTCTACGTGGCTTAGACCAACTGTTGTGGATTTCATTGACTGGTGAGGCCAAGTTTTTGTTTGACCGCCGCTAGCTTTTTTCCAGCCTGACCCTATATCCGCTAACATAGCTCGTCGAGGGAGGCGATGACTTGGCATACGTAACACATGTCCTAACCATCTCAGTCTTTGTAGCTTCACGACTTCGTCGATTGATTTCCCCTGTTTACCTAGAACTCTACGCCTAACCTCCATGTTGCTCACCTTATTATGCCACTTTACACTGGAGCAATGACCTGCATTTCCGCGCGATGTCATTCGATGGCCTCCTCAGTGGCGTATGCCAAATCCATCTCTATTTTCCCCCACATATTTGTTGAATGATCCGCTCTCGCCTGTTGACATGTTCCCACAAAAAGAAGATTTGATTGACTTAACGTTGATGTTGAAAATCCAAATTATGTTATTTATGCTGGCTGAGAGTGAGAGCAGAAGATTTCCAAACTGACTTCAAAGTGGTGAAGGTGTATATCTTGTTGTTCCGATACTGACTGGTTTTGACAACTTCATTTGTGGTGCTGTGTCGCCTGTGGTTGAACCGATACTTCCCAGCCAGATAAGTGAAGGAAGTAACCCTTTTTCAAATCTCTCCCGTTGTGATGGTGATTGGTACTGGTTCGTCTGTACCTTTGCTATGTTCACTTGGAGTCCTGTCTTCAGTTTGTTGGCTTTCGGCTGCCTGTAAGTCTTCGAGTTTGTGTGTCATAATGAACATAAATCATCCACGTGCGAAATCGAGGTCTTCTAGAGTCTTCTTATCGGTGAGTACAACGTATTCATGTCTTCTCACCCGCCACGTACAGTTTGACGTATAATCCAGTCGACCACAATTAAGAATATCATCGGTAATAATAGGGGCAGCCGTATCATTTTCCTTTGTGGATCACGTGACACTGGGCATTGTCATATAGCCAGCCAACTGTTGAATGAGTTTAATAAAGATTTGTGCACTTCACGCCATAGTGTTGAAGCAGTTTCCAGATACCTTCTCAGTCAATGCTGTCGAAGGCCTTTTGGAAGTCGAACTGATCTTACCATAAATCAAATTCACGATTATCAAATTTAATAGCAATTTGTAAATTACCCTTGAAAAAAAATTTTAATCCGTAGCGTCTACTCATAAGTAGTCTGTTGTTTTATTAGTAAAACATCCATGACCCGATTAATGGCAGTTTACAGGAAAATTTCAATATTTGAATAAATAATAAAGATAACAAAGTAAGAGTTGTCACATATCTGTGCAATCACAACAGATTGAGGCGCTATGTGAAACCACTGCCTTATTGATCAATACAAAGTTAAAATAAAACCCGTAATAACTCTCGTAGGGAATTCATTTTGATTTTGGATAAGGTGAAAACCTTAAAGTGAGTTTTTTATATTTCACCAGTGAATTACTACTACCGTCACCTCTGATGATGACTAAGTGTAGATCTGTTGATCTTCGTGATCGATTCTCCCATGAATTTATGCTTATGTTACAGGATTTCATCATGAGCTGACATCAGTTAGGGAACCATTGGAAAACCTGCTTGAAGTACTTGACAGCCAGATAACTGTTTCGTCATCCTAGTTTGGGTCTGACTCTTCAGCACCTGTGGGATTTGAAGCCAGGACATTCTGGTTATAAGGCTAGCTAGCTGGTAGACCATTAAGCCACTGGGACCTGATCCAATGACTTGTCCACAAATTCCAACTTCTGCCAGTTCAGCCCTAATCTGTGCCTTCGGGAAGTATTTGTTCTCATGCCCGACGTCCTACAACCCAATACTTGAATCTCAATGAGATGCACAGTAGTGGCTGGCCCTATTCAGGCAGTTAACCTGGGATTCTAGTGGAAACCGTTGACCATTAGGGTGCAGCAGGTTGAAGGTGAGGCAATAACTCATCTAAGAAGACATTGCGAATTGGTCTCGCTATGTCATTAATTGACACAAGTTGGAATTTATGGACTGGCCATTGGATCGAGTTCCAATGGCTTAATTGACTACAAGCTCGCTAGACTTGTAACCAAAAGTTCTTAGCTTCGAACGAGATGTAACGGCTCTGACTAACAGTTTCAACATATAGAAATTTGCACAGAAGTGTAACGATTCAATTTGCCACACTTCATGCAGCCTACGAAGACAGACAAAAGAGAGAGAAGGAGAAGTGATTTAGATGAATTACACCAAGCGTAAAATGTCTAAGGGAGGTATAGTGACATCGCAAAAGCTTGATGGTTTAGAGAATATGAGAGATCACGAAGAGTGAATGGCTACAATTTATTGAGGACGATTTTGAGCACTGATTTTTAACATTTTATTTTTATTTTTGATTCCAACTTGATTCCACACCGTATTTTTGGTATAAGTATGGAATTTTCAGCGTGGATATCGGTAGCGCAAATTTCGCAGGCCGACCATAGATATCAGGTGTGCGTCGGCGTGGGCTCGAACCCCGGACCATGTGCATGATCGGCGAGAGTCGTAACCACTGTGCCACCGACGCACATCCCGAAGCCTTCAACCAGGCAGTTTTTTACACCGCCCCAAATGACTGAAATTAACTGTCAATGGTTGTAGCTCCATAACCTCGTCGATTTTTAACGTTAGAAGACAAGAAGCTTTCTTGGTTTTATCCCTTCCTGTTGTATCTTGGTCCCGGTTTCCTTATCCCACTGTATCCATTTCTGCAATTGGTTGGTGTTAACCTGTTTCTATTTATTTGCTCTTTTGATCGCGTAAACGGGATCACGTCTCTCGGTGACAGTGGATAACCCTTCCCACTTCAGAAGGAGTTTCCGGAAACCTGGCCTGCATCTTACCCTGTACTTTAATTTCTCTCTACTCTACTTGATTGCCGACCTCAAAACTTATACATCCTATCTTTTCTCCCTGTTCTGATTTCGCGGTAGCTTTCTTCTGCTTACGCTTTACATTCCTGACGGCTTCTTTCCGTCCCGTTCGCAGCCTCGTCTTATTCCACTCCTAGTAGAGAGGCCAGGTTGTGTTGTGTATCAGTAGTCGTGGGTCCTTTCCATGCACCAACTGAATTGTTGATTTTTTTTGTTTCCTGGGTGGACGCACGAGGTGCTAGTAGAATCAATGGAAGCTCTATCTCCCAGTTACCTCCCTTCGGGACCAGCCACTCCTTCAGTGTACGGTTGTTTCTCTCTGTTAGAATATTCGTTTGTGGATGATATGGTGTTGTTCGGATCTTCTTGATACTCATCTGTTGCAAACGGGAAGTGAATTTTTCACTTTCAAAACAAGGACTCTGTTCTGTCAATGTGTCGAACCACTGTGTCAGTCGCGGTTTTCGCGTGTTGATCAGGAACGGTGACGGCGTCTACCCATCGTGTAGCATATTCCGTTATTACCAAGGGGTAGTGATTACCACTGATGATTGTCTTTGAAAACTGTCCCATCACCTCCGCGGACGACAAGTCACCTACTGTCGTCACTGGAATTGACTCTATAGGTAGGTGGTCGTATGCACCGATCTCCTTTCATCAGCTGGCACTGTGGACATCCAATTACATATTTTGCTACATCTCTCACACCTGGTCGATAGATGTTTGTCTCAAGAGGTCGGTTGTTCTGGCTACTCCTGTATGTGCGAAATTAGGCAACTTCTGTCCTTCCTACATATTGCGTTTCTTTGTCTTCTTTTCACGTCTCCAATGTTTTTTTCGGCAAACCTGATTCATTTTCTTTTCTCTAATTGACGTGAAATCTATCTGCCTGCTATTCGATATTTTTATCCCGATGAGCGTTTCTTTTTGTACTAGCACACGCCACAGGTTAACTTCCTCTCCTTACCTAACACTCCACTGCTGTGATGTAACAATGAGAGGGGGGGAATTAGTTTGTAGTGATTTGATTGATTGGTTACAGGTAATTCATCATGAGCTGACATTGGTTAGACAACCATTGGAAAACCAGCTGGGAGTACTGAAGAGCTGTTTCGTCCTGGTTTATGACTCTTCATCAGTACGCACCCACCACAGGGATTCGAACCCAGGACCATCTGGTTACAAGGCTAGCGAGCTCGTATACCATTAAGCCACTGGGACCCGATCTAATGGCAGCCAGCCCATGAATTCCAACTTCTACCAATTCACAGCATAACGCGACCCCTAGCCTATGTCTTTGGCGATTATTTTATCCTCACACCCGACGTGCTACACCCTACTGGTCACGACTTCTCACTAGAACCCCAGGTAACTAACTAGCTACCTGAATAGGGCCAGTCACTGGTGAACATCTCATTGATATTCAAGTATTAGTTTGTATGGATTTGGTTGATTGGTTACAGGATTTCATCCTGAGCTCATATTGGTTTGATAATCATTGGAAAACCTGCAGGGAGTACTGGACAGGTGTTTCGTCCAACAATTTTTGGACTCTTCATCAGTCCAATGTTTCTCTAACCATTGTTTGCTCATGATGAAATCCTGTAACCAAGGGGAGTGTTATATAGTAAAAAAAGGCAAAGTTCAACAATAGCGTCCCAAGGGATGCAAAAGCACGAGTGACCTTCAGGCAGCCAGTCATATAAATGAGGAATTTTTGCACGAAAAATGACGTATATTCACAAGAAAATGCTTGAAAACACATTAAACGGATTATATTTCTCTGATACGACTTAAAAATACGTTCCAGTTGCGATGAAGAGTATCAGTTGCTAAGTTGGACTAGTTTCTGTAGATGTATTCACCAAAGTGATTGAAGGTGTGCTGTTTTGGGAATGGTTCATCTCTCTTCTCTTGCTGTGTAGTCCTCTCCTAAGCCCTCGGTTTAGTTACTATGGTTCCAGTCAGAGCATTGGCGACTACATACAAGGGAAATAAGGATAATAAAACAAGTTGAAATAAACGACAAATCTATTCCTAATCGCAACCCTCGCCTTAATCCTGACCCTGACCCTAAACTTCACACTGGCCCTAACCTTAATCCTAACCCAAATGACAATCCTTATCCTGCCGTAAATCTAACCATAATCCCAATTGTGACCGTATTCCTAACCCTAACCACAATACTCACCTTAACCCCTATCCTAACCCTAACGAAATGTTAACACATTGTCCAAAGAGTAATTAAAAGCGTAATCTGGGTGAAACTTGCTCCTTATTTGATGAATAGGGTTGATATTTCAGCTATGATAATGACAGGAACCGTTAGCCAACGACTAGCATGCGTTCAAGGTCATTTGAGCGTTCGCACTCCTGGGACGCTATTCTTGTACTTCGCCAAAAAAAAGTCTATCGTTTTGTTTGTTTTGAAGTTTTTGCGTAACCAAGGTCTTCTCCAGAGTTGCTAATATCAATTTATTATTTGTGATAATATTTCTGGCTTATTTTATTGTTGTTATTTTCTCATCAATTGTTCGTTGTATAGCCGGAACACAATGAAGAAATTAAAAAAATCACAATGGTGTTAGAATTATGCGAATTATTAGCTGAATTAGCTGAACGTCGAGCATCAGCACTAGCCGATTGTACTCCAACGCGTGTTGAAACTACTACTACTACTACTACTACTCCTACTACAACCACTGAAGACGGGATTACTGCCGCCACTACTCCTACTCCTACTACGACTGACACAGATCCTTCTAATAATAAATCACCGCCAATGAATTCTGATAATCTACAGGACAAGTCGTCGATAAATAGTGGAAGATCTGATAGCATCAACAATCCATGTCTTGATGGTGAACAACAACATACTGGTGACAATGGACATTCAGAAATGAATAAAACATCAACTGCACTTAAATTTGTTTCTGAAGCTCAAAGGTATGTGAGTGAATGTGTGTGTGTGTGTGTGTGTGTGTGTGGCCCTGTAGTTGATGTGTAAAACACTGACAATTGATTATACTTTTGTATGCATATTTGTTTATCATTGACTGGTAATCATTCATTAGCGGCGAGGATCTGACACATTCATTGTCTTAGATATTCAATTTCTTAATGAGTAGATCTCAGGTTCAAATCTCACTATGCCTATTATGGATAAAATTTCTATTTTATTTTGATCAAATCACACAGTGTAGAGTGTTGTTATACAGTGTTATATTTTTGCTACTGATGGCCACTGACCGTTGAGTACAATTCATGCACTGCTCATAATCTCATATCAAGCAAGGCACTAACTACTCACACAACTCACTTTCTTGCTTCCTCGTTGTTTATATACATGAGTAAAAATTGGTGATTAGACATTTGAATCAAATAAATATAACATAAAGTTATATCAATACAATCAGATGGGAAATAAGATGAGTGTTTTTATAGTCAAAATAAATAAGTAACTTGTTAGAACGTTGTGATGTACATGAATTGAAATAGAATTTTAAGATTATTTACTATCCTCCTCTGATTCAACTGACTGATGGGAATAATATCTTCCATATCTCTGGTATTCGCCTTGATGAGTCGCTTCTCTTGCGCAGGTGTTGGATGTAGACTCGATGAACCGGGCAGGATTCAATAATCAGTCTCTCTCTCTCTCTCCACCCTATTGTGTGGTTGCGTGTTAATGCATGCATGCAGTGCAATCGCTTACCGTTCATTAACCAAACCGGGTAGTGTTCAGCTACGTGTTTGCCGAGATTACGCTTACAACGTCCAATGTAATCAGCTCCACACAAAGCATGTGAATGAGTATAAACCCACAAAGGTGGATATAAGTGGTAGTTTATCATTGATGCATTGTCGAATCATATTTTGACTGGTAAATACTACATGTGTAAGACAGCTGCATAGAAACAGAGATCACTAGAACATTTAGATAAACAACTTTTGATGACTTCAGAAACTAGTGTCATCTTCGTACTCCCCACTCATAAACACTGTCTTCTATAGCACTGAGATTGGGCTGGGAATGGTCTCTTTCTTGATGTTTCTGTCGATTAACCGTCTAGGATATGCATTATTTAAGAGAGTTGTGTGAAGGTTTTCTAGTTCCATATCGACCATAGCTATACAGTAAATTTCCCGAATTCAGGAGCATAGAGAACAGATAAGATTTGTATTCCTACACAGGGGTACCAAACTGTTGAAGTTATTGTACTGGTGAACAAAAGAAATTGTTCATAGTCCAAATAATTAAACCGATAGGGCTGTTTGCTTGTTTTTGTTGTTTAAATTACGCGAACGGCCATTCAACTACTAATAATTATAACAGTAGTATATACTAGATATTTGTTGGTTAATGAACAAATTAATCCAGGGACAATGGTTGTAGACTGATGGTTTTGATAAATATCTAATTTTAGATGATACTATCAAACTATCGAATGTTGTTATAGTTACAAGGGATTGATTGATCGATCGATTGATGGCTAAAGTAGTTTTGGCGCGAAGTATAAGTGGATGTTATTGTCTAGGTGTCTTCAACAGTTTAAATCCACAAGCTAGTGGAATACTGATTCCTTCTTTAAAGATAATTATATCAATAAATTATCGACATATCTATTGAGATTACAAAATTTTACATTGATTTCTTGTTTGATTGGGCACTAGTGAATAAATAGTATGATGTGTTTAGTCCTTTGTTTTGGTGCAGACTGAATTCTATCAGTCAGGTTTGCTGCAATATATATCGCCATCATGCCACTAGGTGGCTCGCTATCATGTTGCGCTTTGAATTGTTGATGCTTGATGGTTAGAGGTAACCGGCCCCACAGGAAGCCTTGCAGCAGGGACCTACCTAGGTTTTGTGCTAGTCATTAAGGCGCGGGGTATCTGCAACTCGTTGAAGGAGGGAACTCATGTCCCTTCTGAGATTCGAACCTGCGTCACCATGCAGTGTGCCGCTTCCAGTTGGACAGAGACGTTAACAATGAGCAGCAATTCAGATTTGCAACTGATCACTTCCTATAGGACTGTATTGGATATTTTTGATTGGACGTTAGTGATTAACTAGTGTGATTCCTCTAGGTTCAAGACTTCCTTTGGTTGATTGCCTCCAACCATCTAAATAGCGGTTTCTTCTCTTAGTCAAAAATGTTTGCAATAAAGTGAAGAATTAAACGATCAGATTTAATTGTGGTGAGTGAAGATTGAATATATATGTAATGTGAGATCTCGGGCCTCAGTAAGATTCGTATCAACCAGCTGGGTGAGGAGGATCAATCCTCGTGCAATCTGTCGAATAAAATTACTACAACACCGTATTGGTAATCAGATCATCATTCCGATTCATATGATTGGTAGTAGTCGAAGTGAAATTATACTTTTGTGTGTGTGTGTGTGTGTATAACATCGACAGATTGTTTTGGATTAATAATCCACTACTGGCCATCGGCTTGAATCTTTTTTTTGCGTTTCTGCTGTATGGTTTAGTCACTTTTAAAATCCGATGGGCTTTTTTTCGCTTCAAGCTTTTTACACATCTCATCTATGTATGCCTCATGTATATCTTAAAATAAATACAGTATGGTTGGTTCAATTAAACTCTAACCTTTCTTCTATGTGTATCTATCAATTTGACTGCTCCTGTAGAGTAAGCCAGTTACTTGCATAGGCCGTACAATTAGACATGATCATCGTTGGATTTCCGAAGACCATCCTGCATGGTGGTTGATTAAGAGTAAGGCGCCATCAAAGTCCATTCATAGTTCTATACTTTCTCATCTCGTGGATACAGGACGCAAGACTGATGTAAACAATACGGCTTTCAAAGCCATCTACCGTATACCAACTGATCTTAATTTCACCTGAAGAGCTTATCCACTAAATATTGTTGAGACTGGCTGTTGGAATCTACTTTAGGAAGTCTAATCCATGTATCCGAAAGAAGTTGGTTTAGATACTGTCCTCACCGCCACTGATCAACCATCAAGGTATTAATGATCCTTAATTGGTTGCAGAGAATTCCCTTAATTTTATCTGATATTCCACTTACTACTACATTTTTATGCTGATCATGATAACTTAGGTGTCTTTCTTGAACTGTGGTGATCTCATTGTTATTACTATTATTATTGTTCCCTTGGGTTCCTAGTGGAACATAAGGCTTCAACTGCACGTCTCTACTTGCTTCTGTCTTCTGCTGTACTGTACTTTTCACCTGCATCCATCCATGTTAGTCCATACTGACTGTTTCAACTCCTCTTCACACGATCTCCTCCATGTCACCTTTGCACCGACGTCCCACTCGCCGCTTCCCTTTCAGGTTCCACTCGAGAAATGGCACGACGCTCGTGCGATGTCACCCAGCGGCCTTCTCAGCGACTGTCCAATCCATCTCCACTTTCTCCTGCATATTTGTTGGTTGGCTATTGGTTCTTCTTTTGTTTGTTCCCATAGTTTCTTGTTGGCGATTCTGTCCGGACCGGCCATCTGATTGATCTTCAGTAAAAAGCAAAGACAGTTAGTGGTTGATAAAGATCTGCAACAGGCTGTTGGAAATATTCTTTGTGACCCGCTCGCCAAGTTTTTGTCTGATCGGTATAGAAGAACTGACTGACTTGACGTTGTTTGTATTGAAAATCCTACCGAATTTTGTTGTTGATGCTGAGTGAGTAAGATTTCCAGATTGGTTTCAGGTTGGTTGATGAATGTGTTTCTCGCTCGCCTTCCCGATTCTCGCTCGATTTGACATCCTCGTCCGTTCCTACTGCCTGTAGTTGAGACAATGCTCCCTAGATATTTAGTGAATGAAGTGACCTCTTTCAAATCCCTCCCGTTAATGGTGATTGACGCTAGATCTTGCTGTTGTTGGTTGGTTATTTTCATCACCTCCATCTTGTCTATGTTCACCTGGAGTACTGTCTTCGCTGACTGCTTCTTCGACCAGTTTGTCGATCTTCGCTAGCTCGTAAGTCTTCGACTTTGTGAGAGTTACATCAAATATAAATCATCCACGTGCGAAATCCAGGTCTTCCAGGTTCTTCATGTCGTTCCGGTACAGGATATCCCTGTCTTCTCGTTTCCCACTCACTGTCTGACTCATAATCCAGTCCACCACAATTAGGAATATCATTGGTGATAATAAGCACCCTTATCTGACTCTTGTATTTACTCCAAACGCCTCGCTCATTGTGATCAAATCGATATTATTTAGACGAAAAATACCTATATTGGTAATGGCGATTATTCTAGAATATTCTGTGTATATAAATAGATATATAAATGTATATAGGTGTAGAGCAGGAAGAGGAAATTACCGAAAAGAATATTTTTTGCTCAAATTTTCTTTCGTCTTCCAAATGTCTGAATGAATATTTTCGTTATACTTGAAATCTTTTTCAAAATTTTTTCGGAGTGAAATTGGTTTACAGTCATTTCTCTTCACATATTTATAAATGTGTTAATTTTTCTTTTTTTTTGTTTTGTTTTGGTGGTCATTTTTAGAATTGTTGAACAAATTGTACTCTATCGACGAGTTCTCTACTATTTGGAGTATGTATTTGATCAAGTGAAAAAAGCTTTTCAAAATGGTCGATTAAAGTCTACAGCGACTGCACGAAGACGTGAGTTATTATTATCATCATCACATTCATTGGCTACAGGATTTGATGGCTACGACTCGACATCGGTTAGAAGACATGCGTTGGCAAACTAGCTGAGAGTACTGGACAGCTAGCCAGCTAGCTAGTTAGCTGTTTTTCGTCAGCCTAGTTTAGGACCTAATCTTCAGGAGTACATACCCCATTGGGTTTCAAACGCGGGACCTTCCGGTTGCAAGGAAAGCTTGTAGAACCATTCACAGCTAGTGGGTTCGTACTACCTATGACTTCCAAACTAGGCTGACAAAACAGCTATCCAGTAGTACTCCAGTGCTGGTTTTCAATGGTTCTCTAACTGATTGATAGCAATCCGGGGTTGAACTTGAATTACGTTTTATGTTGTTATGCGTTTTTGGAATGATATTATGTTCTGCCTCCAAAATATAAATATATATTTCTTTTCGAATGATAGTTACATGTCAGAGTATGGAAAGTATCAGGCTAGTTCTGTGAGATTTATGTCTTTGCTAATTGGTGAAAGCTAGATAGCGTTTCATTGTAAGTCTGCAGGCGTTGATATTCGGTGATGGAATCGAACCATAGGTGTGAATAAATGAAATAATAATAATAATAGTAGTATTAAATGCAAATTAAAGTTAAAATGTTTGTTGAGCTTGGAATTTTAAGATGACTTAACTTCCGATATCATTCAAAAAAGTATCTCACAGTCCCTGAAAAATAACATTCCCGGCTACCTCATTGAGAATAGCGTTTTCCAGTCAATCACTACTACTCTTCAATAGCCTGAAGGGCAAGAGCCCATAGTTGACCGCCTCTACGTGCGTCTATCAGTTCACCTGTTCGTCTGGAGCTATAGGTATTATCGGTCGTTGAAATTGGGTTTTGTCCAAGAGAGGCTGAATGAACAATATCCTGCATGGTAATTGCGAAGAGGTGGAAGTGGAGCAATGAGAAGTATGATCATTGAACATTTGGTCAGTAATGATCACCCTATCTCGACAGTCTCCACTTTTAAAGTCATTGACAAGGGGAAAAGTAATTTTCCCAAATCATTACATATCCGACTTATGTGTATTGCTGAAGCTTTGGTCATCGAAATAGAGAAGCCAGATCTCTGTATACAGAAAAAGTTCATTTAACCCCTCCAACTTTCATGGTCTTAATCCCTCCTCAATGCTAAAATATGGTAATCCCCAATCATATTTTAGCCCTGCCAATTTTTCATTTTTTCATTCTGTCTATTCAATTTGTATACTTTTCCTTTACTACATCAATTATTACTATTACTACTCTCTCTTTGAACTGTCCCCGGTATTATTTCACTTGTTCCACTTGTCATTCTAAATTAATTTTGTGCTGCAACGTTAAATTCTATGGTATCAAATTATAGATAATTATTTTCAACCACTGTGCGTCGGTGGCACAGCGGTTAGGACGCTCGCTGACCATGCACATGGTCTGGAGGTCGATCCCCCCTACCACTGGACGGACTCCTTTACCTCGCTAAGCCAGAAATAATGCTGTTTAAGAGGGAAGGTTGGGCATGAGACTAGCAACCCTTGCCTGTAAAAGTAAACACTGCTATAGAAACTTCAAGCCACTAACGTGAATCCCTATGTTCCACTGGGAACGTGATGGAAAAAAAATTTTCAACTACAGTTTGTGTCAGTTTTCTTTCTCTGTTTTTGGTGCATATTCGTTGGGTTCTACTGAAGAGGCACCTTACTAACACTCTTCTATACTGAACAGGGTTTCAACGCATACGCCTAAATGGCTTCAGAAGCATAATTCACAGAACCCATTAATGGTGAGAACAAACGACGTAGCTTCTCTATCGGGAAGCATATTATACAATCAGGACATAAAATTAATGTTTCCACACGTTTTTTTTAAACCCATCTATAAAACTTGTTTGGGGCGTATCCTGAAGTCTGTAGAAACCCTAGCTAGCAATTAGGAAGTTTAAACCACCTTTAAGCGTTCACAAAGAATCCGTCATCGCATTAAATCTTCCTTGGTAAACTTTGTTTTGATACCAGCCATGGCACGTGAACTATTACCTCTCTTTTTAGTTTAGTGATCTTCTTTCTTATTTTGACCTAAGGAGTCTATTTTCTCACCTCTTAACTTTTTATTAATTTCATATATGCATATTCCTATGACAAGTTCGTATGTGATCAGACACGTGACAAAAAGCCTAGGATCCTGGTCTTTTATTTCAGTTAACTCATTAACAAGGTTTATTCCGCTCTTTCTGAAGAAACACTCGTGTTGCCCTGGGTGACTGAGATCATAAAGGGGAGTTAAGCATAATCAAATCCCCATTTAAATGCGTGAATATTCTCACACTCAATTCGGGAAGCACTCTTGAAACGACAGAAGACAAGGGATCGACGGGCAACAGATATTGTTATTGAATTGAATTTTTGATTTTCCCGTCGATTGATTGGACCGAAGTGCTCGGTCTCAGGTTGACATGTCGGCTTCTTGTGCAGATGCTTCGACGATATCTGGGTATTTTAATTGGTGTACAATTGGTGGATGGTGGCTAGCAGTGGAATCCAGGATGCTCATTTCGTCCTATTTGGGACTCGTCACCTGGATGTACTGAGAAATGCAGGTACATCCAGATGAAGAGTCCCAAATAGGACGAAATGCGCATCCTGGATTCCACTGCTAGCCACCATCCACCGATTGTACAACAGATATTGTTTATTTTCAGAAAATCAACAGATATTTATAGATTTTTATGTATATTATTATTCGCGTTATTGTTAGCAGAGATTGGTTGTTTTCCTGCTGAAGGTTATTCTGTCATCTCTGCGTGGCCGTTTCTTAGATAGTCAGGCGCCGTATATCTGCGATTCGTATCCGCCCACGCTAAGTCTTCTGTCATTGGTTGTTGAGTTCCTCAAGGTTACGCTTTGTCATTGTTTTCTCCTCTGACTCCGATTCGGGATGTAAACATTGACGTAAATTTTTGTCTACCAATTTTTTTTTGATTTACAGCTTGATTCCACACTGTATTTTTGGTACAAGTATGGAATTTTCAGCACGGATATCGGTAGCCCAAATTTTGCAGGCCGACCATAGATATCAGGTGTGCGCCGGCGTGGGCTCGAACCCCGGACCATGTGCATGGTCGGCGAGAGTCCTAACCACTGTGCCACCGACGCACAGCAGACGCTAGCAGACAGCTCTAACCCCACACCCTTAGTAAATGGTTTCTCACTTGATGGGGAGTACTTTCACAGTGTGACTGTGGTCCGTACTAATCAACTATGATGAACTGACATACAATTTCTCGGTGTTTCATTCCAATTCTAAAGTCATTTGAATTTTCAGTTTCAGATTTTACTACTGTATACTCTCTCTTTTCCCGCAAATTTAGGTATTTTTGTAAAAATTAACTTTTATATCATCAGGCTTAACTCCAATATACATAAGTTTACTACTAGACAGCTTAGCCAACGTGTTAGTGAATATCTCCCATCGTGGTGGCTTGGCAAACGACAGACAAAAACAATCCGTAACTCAATTTTGTCATATTTAATTGATAGTTGCGTTCATGTAGTAGAGAGAACGAGAGCCTTCAGAGTAATTCATCGTATCCCACCGAATCCTTCCAAATAGACTTCTTATTCGTCTACTGCACACACACACAGCTGAGACAGACGATAGGCATTCGAACTATTAAACCTAAACTATGCATTCAAAAGAAGTTCGTACACAGCGATTATCCCTCCCTCGCTTAGCCTATTAAGACATAACCAACTGATGACTTCTACACCACCCCTTTCTTATCATCCCTTATTCTTATCGCATCTTCATTGAAAACGTGTTTCATTTCCTTCCCTTACAATCAATCTAACATTACTTAATCGGTTCATTTGTTTTTACTAGCCTTTATCGACTACCACGTCTACCTGAACATTTGTTTGTTTAATCATGCTGTTTTTTTCATTATTCGTGTTATCACACATTGCCTCACTTTTTCATCCTTATTATTAATAAAACCATTATTATTACTAATATTATTATTATTATCATTACTACTATTATGACTAATTGCACAATTTATATTCACCGTCTTATTATCCTATTAACTGTTATATCTCCTAAAGCTAATATTGGTAATACTAATAATAATAACAATAATAATAGTGATAACCCGATTCTTTTTGTAGGTTTGATTGATTGTAATACTCTGTATCATCGTTGTTATATACGATTACGACAATTGGCTAGACAATCGCATCGTGAAGATCTGATTGAACCAGTCGGTAGACTTTTAGCTAATATTACCGCTAATCGTCTTATCTTTCAGTATGCATTGGATCAGGTTAGTGTTGTATTCTTTCCAAACTTCTGTTTTTCTATCATTCAGATACAACTAATGCGGAATATGTTTAAAGGTCAGTAGAGGATTTCTCAGCACGACGCTTAATACTTCACATTAAAATTAATATCAACAATTTTTATTATTATTGTGGTGTGTGCTACTTATAAGATTTATCAGTAGTATATATATGTATTCGGAAATATTCGTCGGTATAGAAACGTCATGTAGCAGGGAGATAGATTTGATGTCAAAGAGAGCGAATGATTCAGTTTTGCGGTCAAATATTGGGGACGTGAAAAGAAAGACAAAGAAAAGAAATACAATACACGAGGGAAGGACAGAAGTTGCACATGACGAAAGATTTGGAGGTAAGGTGTACATTATTTCGGCAGTATAGGGAGGGATACCAAATTCCAAATGAACATTCTGTTACCAAGTCTCTGACTAACTGAATGGTTTCAACGTAGAACTTTGCTCATGTGTGCAGCGTTTCTACTTGACACACTCTATGTAGCATACAGAGCAAGAGAAGAGGTTCAAAAGAGACATAGTAAACAGAAATATGAGGCAAAAGGAGTAGTAATATGGAAGAACAATATGGTTTCATTGGACATTATAAATCACAAGCAGTAAATGCATCTCCGCTGTCATTGAGAAAGATTTTGAGACATATCACCAATCGTCCCCAGCCTTTATTGGTTCTTATCATCTCGAGGACACCAACCAGCCAGTCGAGTAGTCTACACCTCCCTACGTGACTGATTGGCTTTAACTAACTAACTAACTGTTGTGGATTTGACTGACTAGTGAAGCCATGTTTTCGTTTGATCATCACCAGCTCTCTTCCAGCCTGATCCATCTTATATCAGTCAGGTAACATTGCCCGTCGGTCGAGGAAGGTAATCGATGGCATTACATGGTGGTATGCATAACACATGTCCTAACCATCTCAGTCGATGTAATTTCACAGCCTCATCGATTGATTTCCCCTCCCACCTACCTAGCACTAGGCCGTTGATGCCTGACGTCAATACTGCCCACCCTATTCTACCATCACCTAACACAGCAGACAGAAGACAGACACTTATGATCAAAGAAAGATAGCTAGGCTTTTCATGTCTTCCACTCTCAATCACCATGTCCCACTCGCAACCGTAAAGCGCGACAGAGCTAAGCGCTGTTGAGTAGTACACATACAGCACACACCTAAGTCATTGGTCTTCTACGGTTAGATTTCCACTGATATAGTCTAATCGAACTTATAATCCAGTATGGTTTCTTTGCATTTTTGTGGGGTTGTAATTCTTCTCTGTGTTATCTAAGATAAGTTGAATTTTTATTTGGTTGATCGTGGGCAAAGCAGTGTAGTAGTGTAGCATGCACGTTTTTAATGTTGTTTGTGTCTTCTCAGCAGGATGTACATGCAAACTATTGAGCGGTAGGTATTACTATTGATACTTACACCCCCAATATGCTTCATTGCCAAGCCCCTGTTAGCCACTGTCAAACAAACAGATAACATGAATTACAGGATTTAATCATGAGCTGACATTGCTTGGAGAACGATTGGAAAACTAGCTGGGAGTACTGGACAACTGTTTCGTCCTAGTTTGGGACTCTTCAGCAGTACACACCCACCGACAGGGTTCGAACCCACGACCTTCTGGTTACAAGGCGAGCTCGTATACCATTGAGCCACTGTGACTTGATGGATCCAATGGCCCGTGAATTCTAACTTCTGCCAATTCACGACATAGCACGACCCCTAGCCAATGTCTTCGGCGAGTATTTGTCCTCACACCCGACCTACTGCACTCTACTGGTCACGACTTCCCACTGGAATCACAGGTAACTACCTACCTAAATAGGGCCAATTGCCAGTGAGCATCTTATTGATATTCAAGTGTTGGTTTTTAGGGATTTGATTGGTTAGAGGATTTCATCATGGGCTGACAATGGTTAGAAAACCATTGGAAAACCTGAATGGAGTACTGAAGAGCTGTTTCGTCCTAGTTTGGGACTCTTCATCAGTATGCACCTAACACAGGGGTTTGAACCTAGCACATTCAGGTTACCAGGCTAATGAGCTCGTCGTAGACCATTAATCCACTGGGACCCGATCGATCATTGACCAGTGCATATTTGTCCTCACATCCAACGTGCAGTACCCAGCTGGTCATGACTTCTCACTAGAACCCAGGTACCTAACTACCCACCTGAATAGAGCCCAGTCTCTAGTGTTCATCGGAATTCGAATTCGAATTGATAACTGGAATGTTTAGAAGAGTTAATTTAAAAATACAGAATTCTCTTATCTACCTCTTTATATTTTCTTATAGTGTTATGCCGCTGAAATGGATGAATATATTGGTGAAATTGCATTGGTATGTAAAATATTCTCTGAGTTATTTTCTTAAATTATTTCTGAAATTTTTTTTTCATTTCATAAATTCTCACTTACATTTTGCGTTAGCAATACTTTTGTGTGATTTTTAAAGGCATATTGCTAAATGTTGTCAGTTTCAGTGAAGACAATTTTTGGCTAGTCCTGGGCGATAAATGTCGTTTGATGCTGAGCGTCCTATATAGACAGTAGGTTTCAGAGTTAAACATGTAAAGCTGTATCTTAATCCCAGTGTATTTGGGGTGGCTTATTGTATGAGAAATTCTTAGTTTTTACGCAAGAATATCCTAGTGGTACTCATTCAAACTGGTATGTCCTGGGGATATGACTTTGTTATATCATCTTTAATCCTTTGCGTCCCGAGTGGAACATCATAGCGCTTGAAGCTGTTGCGGTATGAAGTTTAGGTAGCAGTGGTGTGTTTATTTTTACTGGCGAGCTGAGGAGGGCGGTTGCTAACCTCATGCCCATCCAACCTTCCCTTTTGATCGGGAGGTAGATGTGTGTGTACGTCAACTGGGAACCGAACTCCGGACAACCACGTGAGGTGTGGTTAGCGAACAGTCTACCGCTGAATCACCTACGCGCGCACCAGCCAATGCTTTACTCACAATTCTATTTGATGTAAACAGTGGTTCAAGTGTACACAAATCAAGAAGTATTTATGATATCATTCACTACCTGACTTGTTAATAAATTGCTTTCTTTTCTCTAGTAAAAATATTTATGAGGATTTGATTAATCTGACGAACCGACATATATCAGCTAGAGAACCATTGAAAACCTTATAGTAGTACTCAAGTATTGGTTTGTAGGGATTTGGTTGATTGGTTACAGGATTTCACCATGAGCTGACGTTGGTTAGAGAACCACTGGAAGACCTGGGAGTACTGAACAGCTGTTTCGTCCTAATTTGGGAATCTTCAGCAGTATGCACACACCATAGGGGTTCGAACCCAGGACAGAAATTAGAATTCATCGGGTGCCCATTGGATCCGTCGGGCCACAGTGGCTTAATGGCAAACGAGTTCGCCTTGTAACCAGAAGATCCTGGGTTCGAACTTTGGCGGTGCGTGCGTACTGATGAAGAGTCCCAAATTAGGCTAACGAAACAGCTGTCCAGTACTCCATTCAGGTTTTCTAATTGTTCTCTAACCCATGTCAGCCCATGATGAATTCCTGTAAACAGTTAAATCTATTTACGACAACTATGAAAGAAACAACCTCCTTCACCTACCTACCAAACTGGGAAGCATCGTTTCAACTACAGGCCGATGGAACTGACGAGGATATCAAAGCAAGAATCGGAAAAGCAAGACAAGCTTTCATTACTCGCAAGTCTGTGTGGAGGTCAACAGCACTCAACATGAAAGTTAAGATCCGGATTTTCAATTCCAATGTAAAGTCAGTGCTACTCACTATACGGATCAGATACTTGGCGCATCATAAAGAGCATCTCAAACAAATTACAGACCCTCATTAACAGTTGTCTTCGCTCAATACTACTCAAGATCAGATTGCTGGCCGGAAAAGATCAGCAACAGGGATCTCTGGTAGTGAGCGAACCATCATAGCAGGAACCGATTGTGAAACAAATAGGCAGGAAGAAATGGAGATGGATTGGTCATACTCTGAGCAAACCATCATGTGACATCACTGGATAAGCCATCGCTTGAGTGGAACCCGAAAGGGAAGCAGCGAGTTGGTCGTCAGTGTGAGAATGGCATGGAGGAGGAGGTTATGTGAATAGGAGATGAAGGCATGTGGGCAGACATGGAGCGGAGTGAAAAAGTTGGCAGGAAACCGAAGGCAATGGAAACGCGTGGCTGAAGCCCTATGTTCCCTTAGGAATTAAAAGATATAATAATGATAATAATAATAATGCTTTATTCATTGTCCAGTAGAATTAAAAACTTACCATTTTGTCAACAGTGAAGAATAGACACTTAGGTGAAATGACCTTGAACCAACCAATCAGATCGCTCAGCATTTCAAATGGATACTTTTTCTAATATTCGTTGCAAGTTTCATTCTCGCCCTACTTTAAACGTAACCTAACCTTAACCTTGAATCAGGATGAAACTTACAATGAAGATTATGGAAAACATCCATCTGAAATGCTGAACGATCTGATTGGTCAGCTCAAGGTTGTTTGACCGACCTTGATGTCTATTACTTACAATCGCTTACCTTTTATGGTATTCCGTATCCTTTACATTATATAGTTGTGTTATGTAAGGGTGTGTAATTTTGTGCTGAGAGCAGCCTGCTAGCCGATCGGTTGACATTAATCTTCGTCAATGTCTAGGTCACTAATATTGGCCGTGAGAAAATATGAGCAAGGCTGATTCAACAACCAATCACAGCAGACTTAACGTGGACAAATATGATCCTCGGATAGATGGCTCCACTTTTCGATGGTTACCCGAAACAACCAATCAGAAGCCTGCGTTTGTCTACTTAACTTCTGAGAAACAACCAATCAGAAGACTGCGTTTGTCTACTTGAATAAGCTATAATAATGTATGTGAAACATCTATGTAAATACGTGTTGATTTCCGTAATAAAACTAACTGTTACCGGCCCTTGTATTCTGTTGTTACAACTTCACTTACAAAAACTCTTTTTTTTATTCCTCTTCTTTTTAGTCTCTTCAAAGATACAAAGCTGGCATCACCTTAATCCATGGTCTATGCCAACATGCTAAATCACAAAGAGACAAGACCCTATTAGCTGATTGTATGCGCCTGCTGAGAGATCGTTATGCTTGTCTATGGTCAACTGCTACAAAACCACTGAATCCACAAACTGATCGAACAACAACAGCCTTATGTTCAAATAATCCTACAAATCTCCTAATTCCTGACGCCGGTGGTTGTGGTGGTACAGTTAATTTTGGTATATCTGTGGGTGGGGGTGCAGCAGCAGCAGCGACTCTAACTAATGGCACAACAATGCCGACATTACCTTTACGCTGATGTTATTATTATTATTCCTCACACAGTACATTGTATAATTTCGCCGTATATTTCACATTTTTCGTTCAGAGTGTTTAATAATTGAGTGGTGTTTTGCGCTTTTTCATCACTTTATCGCTTTGTCTTATTCCATCTTTGCGTATTTATTATTTGCATAGTAGAAAGTTGTTTCTTACGGGAGAAAAATGGCAGCAAGATGTGAAAGACTGTGAGAAAAGGGGTGTGGGTGGGTTGCCGACAGGAGCAATAGACATCGTGTCAACCGTTGTGTTCATTTCTTCATTCTCTTCGTGTTCTCCGTCTTCATTATTCCACCATTTTTACAATACTCAATTTTATCTTGACTACTATAAATTATCATGTACAAATTCAACTACATTAAATAATAATAATAAGATCACACCACACTCCATTCTCCGTTTTTCTTCTTTTTTTTGTCTTTTTTGTTTAGTATTTCACTCTCGATCAAGATATCACTACATCACATACTACTGAGTTTTCATTTCTTCGGTTTTTTTCAGTAATATCACGTTATTTTTGTTGTTTTTTTAATACTAATAACAATAATGATAATAATTATAATTATGCGCCATGGATTAGGATTTCTCCCCCCCTTTCTTTCTTTTTTTCTTTTTGAGCTTTCTTGTATATCCTCACATCTCATATGACTTAATTTATACGTTTGTGTTTGGTTGTATCCTCCTCTTTTCGATTTATTCATGCTGAATATGTTTCGTTATTTCTGTCTGCGGGTGTCTGTGTGTGTGCGTGTTGGTCTGATCGGTAGTCTTGCATTGTTTGTTTTTTGTTTTTACCTTTTCAAAGTTGGCGCGGATTTTAATCTTTGCATGTTATGCATGTTGTCTAATATAGTCGTTGTGAAAACTATTACTAATACTACTGATATTTTTCTTATTAGTAGTATTAGTATTACTACGAACGATGATTATGTTGACGATCAAGGGGAAGAAAATCTGAGAATGAACCTGGTGGTATCATTGTATTATATTATATATAAAAATAAACATGCATATATATATATATTTATGAAAATAGAACCCACGTCTTTGTTGGTGATGATGGTACGGTGTTTTACTTTAAAAGCAAACCTTAGACTTCTATACATTTCTCCTCTTTCTTCTTATAACTTGTGTTACGTAATACCTTTTCATTGAAATAAGACAACTACTGGAATGGGATTACATCATTATTATTATGTTGCTTCTCGTTTATTTGTTCCGTTGAGAGGAGAAATAAAAAGGAAGTAATTCCAACTAATGACTGACTTAACTGATGGGTTTGTTGTTCAGGTACGTAGTTAATGGAGAGACTGGATGACGACATACTGGATTCGCTCCCGCCAAATGTAAGATCATGTTACAGGACTGAACTACACTGACTCCTAATTGAGAAATAGGGAGTGAAGTAGTAGGGCACGTTGACCGCTTCACTTATTTTGGAAGTGTACCATCAGCCAGTCCCATTAGCGGGTTGATCTCTGACGAAATCTCAGCACGGATACAAAGGGCTAGATTCGCTTATGCCTGTTTACGCCGTCTCTGGCTTAGTAGACGTGATATCCGTCTGGCTATCGACCAAAGGGCGGGTGTACTGCTCATCAGTCCGCTCCGTCCTCCTTTATGGCTGTGACTGCGACCTGGCCATTGAGAGTAGAAGACATGAAAAGACCGTCTAGCTGTCTTTGATCATAAGTGCCTGTGCTCTATTTCCCGTGTAAAGTGGCATAATAAGGTGAGCGACATTGAAGTTAGGCGTCGAGTTCTAGGTAAACAGGGGAAATCAATCGACGAAGTCGTGAAGTTACAAAGACTGAGATGGTTCGGACATGTGTTACGCATGAGTGTCTAGTCATCGCCTCCCTCGACGATCAATGTTAGCTGATATAGGGTCAGGCTGGAAAAGAGCTAGTGGTGGTCAAACCAAAACATAGCACCAGTTAGTGAAATCCACAACAGTTAGTTTAAGTCAGCCACCTAGGAAGGTGTAGATTTCCTGGTTGAGGTCTTTGAGACGGTAAACACCAATCACTGGCTGGAGACAATCGGTGATATGGCTCAAAACCGTCCTCAATGGCTGTTTCAGATGCATCCACTCCTTGTGACTTATGATTTCCAATGAAACTGTTTTGTTCTTCGTTATTTATCCTTTGTCTCACACCTCTGTTTACTGTCTCTATTATGCATTTCTTTTCTTGCTTTGTGTGCTACAAGGAGTGGAGTGTGGCGACTTGAACTGCCGCACATATGTGCAAAGTTCTATGTCGAAAACAGACAGGTGCAGCCTATAAATTAATGAATTCTGTGTTATTATTATCTTTCCCAATTTGTCTGTCTGATATTCAGTGTGTAGTGTTATACTGATGCATTTTATCACGTTTACAGATACACGCTAGTGAACATTATTTAAACAACATTAATATTGTTAATATCCCTAATCCTTTCAAAAGACTAATTGCTGATCAAAGAACACTTTTCGATAACTTCATCATCAAGTTCTACAGTTATATATATATATATATACATAATAGTGAATGAACTAGATTTATTATTAAGAACAATAATGTTGTTCAAATAACATCAAATCAATCAACAATATCAATAGATTACAGTTCAGTGGCATCAATGTAACAATAAACTGAATGTCAGACAGACAAATCAGGAGAACAAACATAAAGAATTCATGACTTTATGGGTTCCGAAAAAGGACAAGGCAGTAGTAATGGATAGCAATAGCCTCTGCTGTTTGAAGTCTTAGGTCGGTACCTTGATGATTTCGGCTATTTATTTGGTAGTTGATAGATGATGACGGGGAAGGATTCTTCAATGCCAGCTAGCTTTGTGGTCGGCTCTGACCAGGTGGTCTAATACTGAACTGTTGATTATGGTTTCCACTTTACCTTTTTTAGCCACATCCCACTGGTAGGTGTTCTCGAGTGAGCACGAGAATTCAAGTTTCTAGAGCAACGGCCAATATAACTCACCCCATCAAAAGCGCAGTTCCCAGTGGAGCATAGGGCTTCAAGCTAGAGGCCTGAAGCTTCGTCAGCAGCGGTATTTGTTTATTTCTACGGGATTGGGTTGCTGTTGGTCTCATGCCCACCCCCAACCTTCCCTCTTTACCAGTCCTAATACTGTCTTAGTGAGGTAAAACAGTGTGTCAGCCGGGGATCGAACCCCAAACCATCTGCGGCGTGATTGGTGAGCATTCTATCGCTGTGCCACCGACGTCCTACATGTATAGATCTATAAAAGCTTGTTTCATAAAAAATGTAAGGTATATCTAGTTGAAATTACATCAGTTTTAGTTGAGACAGCAGTTGAACAGTGAGTGAACAACAGTCATTCTACTATTGATTCCCTCAATAGTAATATAACAGTTAGGCTTTTAGGAGATGAAATCCAGAGATATTGATGCATGTGAATGAATGTGTGTTTATCTCGGAGTAACTGGTCACTACACACGCACACATACACACACACACACTGAAGACTTGTGTTGAAAACATGGATATCCTATGATAAAATAGATTATGTAAAATTAGTGAATGACTGGTAGTTATAGTATTATTATTAAAAACGATCATTAAAAAACCAACATGATGAAATCAGTGTCCGCTAATGTTCAGGGAGACAGGGGAAAAGAGAATAGGGTAGGGATAGGAACTTGGAATGTATATTATAATGAGACTGTTAGTTATTTCCATTGAAGGCTACTGAATGAATAAAGTTTGAATACATAGCGAATAAATTCATTCATTCATTCAGACATTTAGAAGTAATTCAGAGAGAAATAAAGTTCATTCATTGTTCTATACTGTCTCCTCTCTTAGATACAGAGCACATCGTATTGATGTAAACAAGGCTGCTTTCAAAGTCATCTATGGTATGCCAAATAAGCTTAATTTCACCTCAGTACTTCGTCTCCTACATATTTTTTATGCTGAGGCTGGCTGCTGGAATCTACATTTAAAAAAGTCTAATTTATGTATCCAAAAGAAGAAGCTGGTTCAGACACTGTCCTCACCTTGGCTATCAACTTTTTAATGATCCTCAATCTGCTGTGGAAATTCCCTTAATTTTATGTGACATTCTCTTTACTATTACATTTTTATGCTTATTATTATTATAACTTATGCATCTTTGAATAAAGCAAGAACAACAGAGGTTTTTGCAGAATAAAATGGTACCATCATTGTTTATTTCGTTGCCTTCTCATCAGCCGTTTATAGGTTAAAGTCATTATTAAATATATCTACAAAAACAGTTTTAACATACTTGCACAGAGTTCATTTTTAAACGAAAACAATCAATCGATCAATATATGCACACAGTAACAATATATGTATATAATAGTAAACACTATTCCGAACAACAATAATAATCACACACAGTGGAGGCATTACGTAATCAGATGAAAGAGATGTGAAAATACCCAGTTACCAGGTTGGCAAAGAAAGACTGATAACCGCTTCTTTGTGGACGCATAAATCAGTTTTCAAGCGGCAGATGAAAATCACTTCGGCAAACTTGAGGAGAATTCAACTCTTTTGCCTAATAATAATTTTGAACGATCTCGCGACGTTCACCTCATGATCCGTGTCCAGGAGATGCCTGACAATTACACTGTTTATAGCATTTGTTCTGCGTACTGACGAAGAGTCCCAAACTGGACTGACGAAAAAGCTGTCTGGCAGTACTCCCAGCTGGTTTTCCAATGGTACTATAACTGATGTCAGCTCAAGATGAAATCCTCCAACCAGTATTCATAATTCCTCGACGGAGATAGGCTATCCTAGTGGTTTCATAAGGAAACATATGATATATCAGAGAGGAAACCTGGAACTGTGTGTGCACGTAAAAAACCTCTATTTATTAAGTTACAATTTAATGGTGACTTATCAAGTGAGATTTTATTCCAAAGACTTTCAAGGAGTTTACGAAGAATGTTTTACGCAGCACGCCTACTTTCGTCATTCTCTAACCGACGAATGATTCGGACGTAAACAAAGGATAAGCTTGGTAGTTTTGCCACATCTATGTGCATTTATTAATTCAACTGTGCCTGCGGTGACAGTTATGTTGGACACACTACTACTAGATAGCTTAGCCAACGTGTTAGTGAACATCTCCCATCGTGGTTTGGCAAAGGACAAACAAAACAACCCGTAGCTCAATTTTGTTACATTTAGTTGATACTGGCCATGTTGTGGGGAAAACAAAAGCATTCAAGGCAATTTACTGTATCCCACCGAATCTTTCCAATAGACTTCGTATTCGTCTACTGCACCGACTGAGGCGATATGCATTCGAACTATTGAACCTAAGCTATGCATTCAAAAGAAGTTTGTACAGTCATTATCCCTCCCTCGCTTGGCCTATTAAAACATAACCAACTAATGACTTCTCCACCACCCCTTGTTTATATTTTCAAGCCCTTTCTTATCATACCTTAATCTTATCACATCTTCATTGAAAACGTGTCTCATTTACTTCCCTTACAATCTAGCATTACGTAATCGGTTCATTTGTTTTTGTTAGCCTTTATCGATTACCACGTCTACCTGAACATTTGTTTGTTTAATCATGTTGTTTTTTCATTATTCGTGTTATGACAGATTGCCTCACTTTTTCATCCTTATTATTGATGAAATCATTATTATTATTATTATCATTACTATTATGACTAATTACACAATTTATATTCACTATCTTATTATGCTATAGACAGAACACCATGATTGGTTCATATTTGAATTTTTATTAGTAAAGTTATGCAGGTATATTAGAGTTAAGCTTGATGATATCTAATTGAAAGAACAATATTGTTCGCCTAAATGTCTCTTGTTCTGAATATTCTTTGCTCAAATTTTCTCTTGTCTTCTAAACAAAGTTTGTTCTGATCAAATCGACTTGCGTAAGTAGAAGACGTATTTATTTCTCTTTTGGTAGATGGATTGCAGATAACATCACGTAACGTATAATACCCACTACTTACTAAATGGGATAAAATTGTTATTTAAATTCTGTATTCTCCATTTCTTTAACCTTATACGCAAAGGTTCAAGAATTCATACGAACAAAGCTTGCCTAGCAGTAGCTTCTACACGCTTCAGCACCACATGTGGAGTCAAACTCATAGATGCATACTGAAGTGGCTATCACTGCTAACTAACTTATCATTCATTTTCTGTGTAATTACTTGTTTTGTCAATACACTGATGACCAACTTCACTACAGTACAAGCAAGACTGTAACTTACGAGTGGAACTGTATCACTGGGATATTACATTAGTAATGC